TGCTTTATTCTTTATGCAAAATGTCTTTCCATTTTTCAGTGTCAAAATTCCTTTGAAAGAAATGGTCTGGACTTATCTTGCCTTCTCTGAGCTTCACTGTTTCCACCCCAGCTKCAGTGAATAAAATGCTGCTTCTTGCCATTGACTCGAAATTGTAGCATTCCTGAGACTTTTGTGTAATGGTGAGAAAACAAAGAATTTGCTCCATTCCTGTTTTCCATGATGTGAAATCTGAAAGAAATATGAATGGTACTCTGCTAYACCATTTATTGTACTTGAACAAAAGTACAACTTTGAAATCCCTAAGGTGTGGAGGGATGGAGTACCAAAAGCCTCATAAATGGTAAAATGATGACCTTACTGAAATCCAACTGCCTGCAAACAGAATTGGATGTATTCCCCTCCATCTGTTATCAGATTTTTTGTTTGTTTATTTTTAGAAGGATGCATAAGTAATATTTAATATTTTGCTTAGTTGAAAGAAAGCCAAGCTTTGTGCTTTGCATAAAAAAACCACCATCTTAGAAATGTTAATTTTCCAAATGTTACAGAAAGTTATTTATTACTTTCTTTGAAAGGACATATCTGAAAATATCAGTCTTTAATTTCGTAATTATGGGAAGTTACAGCCAGAATCCCACTCCAGCATAGGGGATTCTCTATTTTCCGCAGAGAGCTGGGATGTATCAGCATTTTCTTGGAATTCAAGTGAACTTAAAAACCAAAGGACTTCAGRCAGAAGGGGATCTCTGTGGGATCTCAGACCAAGGCCTCAGATTCATCTCTCAGATCACAGAGGAGAGAGAAATATTTAAAAAAAAAAACCCGAGTCTGTTCTTATTAAATTGTCGGTACATTTATTGTACAGTTATTTTATTTTGATTCATGAGAACTACAGGTAGATGTAGCCCAAAAGGGTTACTGGTGATGCCCAACATCAACTTCATTGACTTGTACATGAAAAGTTGCTCCACTAGTGAACCAATAATGACCAATTCAGTAGGTACATCTTTACTGTGTATTAGCACACTGTTTTATATGTGACTCTCACCTCTTGGAAAATAAAGGCTTACATGCRCTGAGGTAACTAGATTACTTTCTTCCCCCTCAGAAATTTTTCTCCASTTTCCATTTTAGAAAGGATTTAAATGTACTGATTTGTTTTTTCTTTAAAATTGCTGTGCACACATCTGGGCTGGYTCTGTATTATTCTRTATATTTAGTATACATGGATTATTWATTAATGTTCTGTAARTAAGAGGGCTCAACCCACAAATCAAGCAGACACTTCAATCTGCACTATTTTAGCTTAGYATCTCACTGAGTTAATGAACTACCATAAGTAATTATATACCATTTTTAGAGTTGAAAACAAATTTACCTAAGAAAGAAAGTCTGACTTTGGTGGGGATTGCCCTACAATACGATGAGCAACAAAAAGACCACAAATGTTCTGTGCWCTTGCTCACAGCTGAAGTCTGATGAAATGTGTCCTGGTGGCCACAATGCTTGCACTGCACTTGCCAGCTCTGTATCCTCACAGGACACAAATCCATGGATTTTGCCAGTCTCCAGCACCTTTACATGYTCCTGAGAGGTAGAGCTCAGCTATGGTTTTCCCAGAAGATGCTGAGTCAAATTCCAGTGACGAGAAAATACAGTCCTAACAAATAGGAATTTAGCCCTTTATGCTTCTCTAATTCACAGAAACCTCAGAATTTAGAAGTAGAAGGACTGAAAGCTCGAATGGGTGAAACCATGGGGATAACAGAGAGTAATTGTGAGGAGCATSTATACCTGAGAATTGTCCTCTGAGCCAGCACTTCAAAGAGTCTGTTGGCATGACAGTTTTTATCACAGAATAAATATTACATTATTTGCTCTCTGTATAATGTCTTCCCTACCTGAAAATCCACCAGCTCTGTTACTTAATATGTGCTTTAGTTGCCATGCCTCACCCCTTATCTACCACAAGTTTAATACAGGTTGTTCTTCCCCAGAGTTCTGTGATGGCTTTGTAACTGCAAACTTTCTATGTTCCATGTGCCTGTCACATGGAGTTATCAAAAATATCAAAAAAATCACAGTTATCAAAAAATGTTTCAGACATTTGCATTCACTAGAGAATTTGAGTATTCAAAATTTTAAGGTATTTCTCATACCATAATCTTTACAAAAATTCATTGGCTAGAATTTTCTGAATTATCTTTTAATAGGAAACACACATTTAGATCCSTCTAACAGTTTAGCCCCTCCCTTAGCACTGGTCTTTTCAGGATTTTGTCCCTTGTTTGTTAAACAGAGGTCAGAGTTTCCTTCTCAGGGRTGTTATGAGAATTAATGCAATGCAGAATGATTTTACAATGACTGGACAACCAAGACAAGTGGATAAGTACCAGTTACATACACACACGTGATTTTTCTCTCCTTATTTCTCTCCTGTAAATTTTTGCTCTCTTGGAAAATACCTCCATGGATCTTGAAAACAAGGAGATCTTSAAAAAAATATTATTTTCTTCTGTACCTGCACAGGTTCTCTGCAGGTGTTTTGCCAGTGGTTAATTTATGACACACCATGAGGTGCAGTGTTAAGGCAAAAATAAACTCCTGGCTCTTCACTATTACTTTCCAAGTGCTCATTTACTCTGGTTTTAGGAAGATGCTACATATACAGAGTAATTCATTTTCCAGTCCTAATATTATCATTTTGAATTCAAAAGGGACTCAATTAGTCATCATTACAGTTTAATGGCCTGAAACACTTTAGTGTTAATAAGTACCTGGGAAAGCAAACTCCTACCTCTTCTCATTTATTCAATTACGTGAATTTTGCAATAGGAAAGTTTGAAATTTTATAACAGCAGTAGGTATGAAAATTTATATTCTCATTACATTCATTCTCTGTAGCTTCACATAATGTCAAGAAATAATGCCCAGGTTCTTCCCTGTCTCCCCCGATGGAGGGGAACGAATATGCTGGGCAATATATTTTCCCTGATTATTGATTAGAAGAGACAAAAGCATTGGTGATTTTTAATCTGTTGTGATGCAAAGGCTGGTCTGGCCTCCCTGGAAGCGACTGGAATGTTTTCTTCATTTGCTTCATTTTACTGAGCTATTTTTTAATGTGAAATGGCAACCAAACGATCATCGTGGCTTTTATGGGCCAGGAGAGCAATCTTTTGCTTTTTAGTTTTGCTTCAGGACTCTGCAGACTTTCTCATACTCCCTCATATGTGGGAGGAAGGTTATGCAGTGGTGTAACCTCAAATACATGAGCTTCAACCTGTGAAGGAAAAAAACCCGCCGGTTTAGGAAGATGATGCTCAAACTTCATAGAGTACACACAAATACACAGACTTTTTTACATGAAAGTGATGTCTCGGGAATATAAATAGAAGTTTGAGAGGTCTCTGTTGTAGACTTCTGGAATCTCATTTCAAAAGGATTTATGAAATTAATTGAATCTGTGTTTTATGGTCAGAAACYACTGCATGGCTGTAGCTGTTTATGGTTACAACTCAGTGCCTTGSCACATGCTCAGCATGAAATACAAGCAGGATCTTTCTCTACACATTTATTGTTTGCAGGATCATGTCCAAATCATGTTACAAGCAATTACACCACACAGAGCTTGAGTATTTATCTGGTTGTATAGACAGATTATCATATTCTTTGACTGTAAATTCCCTTTGGTTCACAAGAACYCCTGTGCTCTTCTGGAGGCAGTCAGCTTTCTGCAGACTCTTGAGAATATTAATGTCTCACACACATGCACAGARWGTATTTATTGGGTGACACAATCTTYRTTATAATGGCTGGGGGTGCTGAGTGTGCAGTTGCAGGGTTGTTCTGTTGGATCCTTCTTTAAGGATGCACTTACAGATCAAATTACTGATGGGAAGGAAAGATTTCCCACCAAGTTCCAAAAATCATAGCAAAGGACGTGGTAAAAATGGTGAGTGCTGATTTGAGTGGATGTTGAGTGAACCCAACATTGTATTCCCTGTAAACTCATTAGCTAGAAAAATAAAAGCTCTCACATTCATTTATTTTAATTCATCCTGTGCTGCTTCACCTTAGACTSAAAACTGGAACTGATTGCTTCCATATATTTTGTAATCTACATGRCCTTTGTCATCTCTGAGAACCTCATAATCTTGCATAGATGTTTTAACAAAATCTCTGTAGGATATTAGAAACATTATCCCATTCCACAGGTGTGGGTCTGAGGTACAGAGGAAATTGTGGCTTGTCTTCACTGAGTTCCAGTATGACGCAATCAATACTTGATTTGTGATTGGGCACACAAAAAAAATGTTCAGGCACTACTGAAAAAGTGTTTTTAGGCTGATCTGTTGTGTTGGAGTGATTTGGACTGAAAGTGGAATGCTACTGTCAGGGATACTCAAAATTTCAGCATCTGGAGTTGGAGTAACTCACTGAACTCATCACTGTGGGCAGCCCCAGAGCTCTTGGTTGGGGCAGTCCCTCTGTCCAGAGCTGTTTCTGACAGAATAATGTGGGTCTGTYAACAGCACACTGCAGTGAAGACAAACCACCATGGAAATTTTGTAAGGAAGTTGAAAGAGAAAGCAGCCTGAGTGTCCTGAATCTCACCTGTTTTCTGTCCAATGTGTGAACTGAAGAGTTTATGTGCAGACATTGTTGCTAACAGACAAGAATCTGATGTTGCATATTTTTCATTAATGACTAGAATGAATGAGAAAATATCCCCAACAATTCCTCCCCTGATGATTTGTGAAGGCTTCCCTTCAACAGTAAATATTATCACTGATGATGTTAATGAAGACATTAGTTTCACAGCATTTGAAGTACTGAAACACTCCACTGTTAACTAGCCTAGTGGGGTTTATGCTAATGTAAAATGTAATAAAGTGGAGGCCACTATCTCTTTAAGCTGAAAGAAAGGAAACTTGTTTCTACTTCCAAGGGATGCCTAGTGTGTGCTTATCTAATTGACTGTGTATTTTGTCTAGGTGTTGAGGGAAAGCTAAGAGAATGAAGGCTCTAAATCCCCAGTGGAAGCATGATATGGCGATGCAGTGCTGGTGCTGAATTGCTCTCTCTGATGGCTCTATGGGAGTGGATAGCACTGAGTCTTCATTGCTGGGTTTTAGCAGTTGCTGCTGTCTCGGATCAGCATGCCACAAGCCCCTTCGACTGGCTCCTCTCTGATAAGGGACCCTTCCATCGCTCACAGGAATACACAGATTTTGTGGACAGAAGTCGACAGGGATTTAGCACAAGATACAAGATTTACAGGTATGAAGCAAAGGGAAAGCAATTGCAGAGATGTCATCSTTAGAAGCTGTAAATTGTCAATAAGGGTTTCCTTAAGGGAAAGGTCCAGTTGTGGGAACAAATTCATAGACACCAAATTCATTGCTGAAATATATGCAAGGCCACTGTGTGTTATGGAAATGCTGCTTTTGTTGTTTCTGTTTTGTTTGAAGATCTTTTGATAATTGATTGTGTTGCTCTGAAAAACTTTCTTGTTTGCTACCTACCTCTACCCTGTCCTAATGATACAACCAAAAATGTGCTAGGCATTCAAACACCACCTTTGGTTGCAGAGGGATCACCTTTGATCATGCATGGAGTCTGATTGCTTTCCATGTGTCTCACTAAGACATAAACTGAGGCTTTAAGAAYGAAATTGTGGCTCTGCGTATTCTGCTGACAGAACAGACTTCATGGTTCAAAGGAGGGCGTTTTCAAAAGTGRCTCAAAAATGTTTAATGTCAGTTTATGTCAATGCTTTGAAAAGGGGTGTTCTCTTCCCTGAGTGACTGAGTGATAACAGCCACTGTGAATTTTAACTGAGGTTGCAGGTGTTTGGTCCGTCACAAATCTCAGCATTAGGCTGGCCCAATTCAGACTGAGAAAAGAAAAAAGCAGGGAAAGACTTCAAAAATATAGGTCTGCCTGACAGTTTGGGCCTTGCTGTGGAATTGCTTCAATGATATGCTTGTAACTTGTGAGTTTCTGATTTCTGAGACAGAATTGGTGAAATATCTTCTCAATCATTTGCAAAGGGTGTAAATCAGTAACATCCAATAGCATTATCAAGGACATGGGAAGGAAAACAGGAGTTCAGTCCAACAGGAGTGACCTAATGGTAAATAGACCGAAGGGGAGAAATGAGAGACCAGGAGAGATTAAGGACTGAGAAAATAAATCTATAAGCAGAGATATTTTTCATTTCATATTGTGATAGATCCCTCCCAACAGCCAAAGGAAAGAGGGGCAGCAGGACAGTACAGTGCAGGTTTTCAGCTTCCCTAATACCTGTCCATCCTACAAACACAGACCATGTWTGGGAAGACACACACTGATTTCACTGAAAAGCATGGAAGGGTTTGGGCAAATGTCAMACCTCTTTCAGGCTATTCTTCCCTAGTAATATCCAGTCCTTTTGAAGAAGGTAAGAGTGATATAAGCCTATATGTTTATTATATTTACTTCAGTGTCCAGTGGTCTGTGATAAAAGTGTCGGCCTCAGTCTGCAAAGGTTTTATTTTAAGGAATTTGCTTTATTTTGGTTTCCCAAATACATGCAGTAGAGGGCACTCTGTTGCAGGTCAATTTTGCAGTKGGCTCCTTTGCCATATACAGAGAAATTAAACACATTTTGAAAATAAAGTGTGATTTGGAAATATGCTTGATGAAGTGGCTTGTCTTAACAGAACAGCATTGCCCAATATTTACTGCATTTTAAAAGCCAGCTGTCAGGACCAATAATGTAAAGCCAATAATGCAGAGACTGAGGCAGCATATTTTATTCCCATTATTCTGTATTAGTCAACACTGAACCGAAATTATCTTGCTAAAACATGAAAGATGGAATTGTATTTCATTTGAGCTCTTACAATCAGGTCCTTGTGAATTTTTCTCCTCTCGGTCATCATAACAACAACATCGTTAAGTTTCACAGATCTGTAATCACATTGCTAATATTTATTTGGGTTTGTACATTGGTTTCAATTGACTTTAATTTACACAGTCCCACAGAAAATGTTTCTCATGTTTAGCTCCATTCTGTGCYTATTCCCTTCAAGAAATGAGCCAGGAAGTCAAAAGAGGCCCAAAAAATTTAAAAAGCTGCAATTTTTTGATTTAGCCCACCAAAACCAAATCTTATTGCAAAGTTTCCTTGCAAGTAGTGCAGAATAACATGACCTTGTTACAAACCACACACTGTAAATTTAATCCCTGTTGCTTTTCTACGAGCTTCCCCGGGCTGTAGGACCTGGAGCCTAATTGTCTCTTCATTCCCTCACCTGTCTTCTGTCTAATGAAAGTGATCCCTCAGGGCCAGGTCCGTATTTGGAGAGAGGTAAAGAAGGGGAAAGCACTTGCCTGCAGGGATTCAGTCCTAATAAGGAGGGAGAAAGATGCTGACAGAGCCCCTCCAGTCCCTGAGCTCTTCCTTCAGCCCTCAAACCGCACACATGAGATGTGGTATTTAAAGAGTGAGGGTGAAGGGAAGTCTTCTCCCTTCATTTCAAATCCATGTCAGGTCAAAATCCATGGGACTGAGGATGAGTGAGATGTGTAGGGTGAGGGACTGCAGAGGACTGTGTCCCACTTAAGCCCTTCCTGGCAGGATGTTCGTAGCACAGTGGGGTCACACAGAAAATTACTGAAGATCTTTTTTTTTGTGTTTTTTTTTTTTAATGGCACAAATGTGGCAAGTTGCTGCAGGCTCCCCAAAGCTGTGCCCTCTCTTCTGGGGAAGGGGCTGGCTCCAGAGGACCCAAAGGAGCTTTGGGCAGTAGCAGCTCTCCTCCTGTGTCTCCAGACTGACAGCATCCAGCCTTGCACAAGAGATGACCAGTTGTATCTCTCTGCCAAAACCCAGCAAGTCCTGCTGCCCATGGCAACCAACTTAGGATGACCAACCTCATGCTGGGACTGTTTGTCTACAGCTAACAGAAATGAAATGGTCTCAATAAAAATAACATAAACCCAGCCCATAGGAGCTGCACATATTCCATGTTGTGTTTTAAGGTGTGTTGGAGGAGATTTCAGCAYGAGACTGCTGTCTGATTTTTGCTTTCCAACAATGGAACAATTATTCAGTGACTAGAATGATGTTTTGATTTCCTCTCCATTTGCAGTCTCAGGAGAGGCAGTAATGATGTAGAAAAAAAAWAAATCTCAGTGGAATCTGTAACATCCCAAAGATTTTATTTCATTCCCCCATTAATAACATCCTCTATTTTAATCAAAATCATATTAAAAAGCAGCATGGTATTCTGCTTTTGTTTAAATCAGGTAACACATTTTTCTTTAAATACCTAAGTTGCAGGTACAAAGGCCTTTGTCCTGCACTGTTGTTTGACACTGGTTTGAATGGGATTGAGGTCACACACTGCAGGCCCATGGAAGATACAATATGATTAAAATCAGATAATAGGACAGAGAACTGGAAAAGCACCCAGCAGAGAGAATAACAAAGAACATTTAAATGGAGTTCACTTGGAGGAAACATTGTCATTATTTCTCAGCTATTGAGTAAAAACAATGTTGTGCTAATTCTTCTATTTCGGTCACTTGCGTGGCAGGAGACAGACTGATTTTAAAGTTTAATTTCACATAYGGCAATTGTTTTTCATAATACTCAGTAGGCTTACTTTTTTCAGTTCTTATTTTACATAACTTGTTTCCATTTAAAATACATAGGGTCAGACTTTGAATCTAAAACAAGAAATTTGATCACTCAATGGATGGTGTGCTAGCTTTTCTTTTTTTCACAGAATCACAGACTGGCTTGCATTGGAAGGGACCTTAAAWATCACCCAGTTCCCAYAGCAGGGACATCTTCCTCTATCCCAGAGTGCTCCRARCCTCKTCCAAYCTGGCYTTGGACATTTCCAAAGGATCCAGGGGCAGCCACARCTTCTCTGGGCACCCTGTGCCAGGGCCTCCCCACCCTCACAAGGAACAACATCCAGTCTAAATTTACCCWTTTTTATCTTAAAGCCAAGTTCCCTGTTTGTATATCAATGAGGAAGAAAACAACTGCTTTGTACCCACACCCTCTGGTCACTACCAGCAGGTGTTCATCTGACACAAATCTGTTACAAACCGTAGGGACAAAGCCAAAGATTTGCACCAAGGAGCACACTGATAACTGTGRTTTAACTGTGCCAAATTTCTAATAAGAGGTGTTAACTTTGGTATTTTTTCARATGTAAAAGTTACACTTTTTCTTAACTTGATATCTGGCTTTYGTAGCATGAAATAATCATGTGATAAAACCAACACTGATTATGGGAAGGTACCAATAGAAAAATCAATTGTCACCCATATTTTATTCTTTACATTAAAATTCTTCCATGTTCATGGGCAAACAAGCTGATTCTCCCCAAGGCCAAGAGCTTACAGAGTTACAAAGTTGAAAGAGACAAATATATATGAAATAATGTTTTAATTTGGTATTGCAGARCACTAAATAACTGATGTTACTGACATTGCTTTAAGTTGGAAATGGTGGGCTGGTTGTGTTGATGAAATGGCAGTGTTCTATTCCCTTTAACCCTCCAAAGGAAATACCCTCTTGCAATAAATTTTAAARTAGCCACAGTTTTTGGTAGCATTCATCGTCACTGATCTATGAAGAAAAATGCCAAGAAAGCACCTGGATGGTTTCTGAAAACCTCTAGATTCATGGGAATTCTGTGTCAACATTTCATGGAAGGTGGTGCCTGTAGTTAGTATCAATAAGTACTTTGGCAAAGAAGTTTGTAATTTGTTATTTAATACACAAAGGGAGTGCTGTGCCTCTTATGTAAATCAGCTACCCAGACAAAGGAATTTAAATCCAAACAGAAGGAGATGAGAGGTTACCAGGATGGAAAGAGTGATTGTGAAATTATGCAAAGAACCTGCATTGTATCAGAAGAGGTAATTTCCACAGAGATAGGGAAGCATTCATGCTATCAAATAAGGTCCTGAGGAAATCTCCTCAGGGATACTGCAGACTTTTGTTGAAGCAAAATGATTTAAAATCTTAAACAGATGTGAAAAATCAGCGGAAGAAAGAGCCTTGCTTTTTCTTTCAAGGTGGAAATATTTAGGGGGAAAAAAGGGAACTGAAAGAGGGCACAATTCCTGTCAACAGAATACATATTATAAAGTGAGATGAGCTATCTAAACCAAAAGCCATCACTATCTTAAAACCAAWTTGGTATCAACTGGCTATGAATAAATTTAGGTTGGTTGTTTAAAAAAAGGTTCCTAATAATTAAAGTAATTCT